AAAAAATATATTTTGCATTGTATAAATTCACTTTTCCACATCCAAAATGTAATTGTTATATGTAAACAATGTTTGTAAATCCCAGGCCTGAAGATGATCTCAATAAAGATCGAAACGTTGGCACGATGAAGAAAATGTTTTTCTGAAACCTACATCACACCAGATCGCATCTTACGATTTCTAAATAAATATCAATTAACGGTCACTAATCACCACACACACAGAAGATACAATAAAATACTCTAATCATAAGAAACAATATAACACCTTTATTAGAAGTTGTACGCACGCTGGTCAGTCGCATTAAAATTATTATAGAAACAGAAGAAAAATAATAAAACAAAATAACAGTAGGCTTAATCTTAGCTCACCCTGCTCAGAGGACTGCTGCTGAGACTAACTCCACCATATTCTTTGGAGAAAATGGAAATTTATCCAAGCTCGTCTTGAGGTGCGATGTGACATCTGGAGAAGGGTTCTGGACGCGGCACATGCACTACTTTGTTAGCGATTTCAATCGCTTTCAGGCACAAATAAAATGAAGGGAAACTTATCAGGAAATTAAAAGAAACTATTTGAACGAAATAATGAAATTGGAGGCAATTTGAAGCTAGCGGACTGAAATCGGAAGCAGTATGGATAGCACAATGGAAACAGGATGGAATCTAAAAGAAGGCAGTCTTAAAAAGAAAAAAAGAAATTTAAAAAAATGAGAGAGAAGGGATAAAGCAGAAGCAAATTAGTGTATATAAAACAAAAATATAACAGTGAAATATGGCGGAGTTGAGGAGCAAAAACAGAGTAGGACTAAAGGGGAGCACTCCCGCTAGAGGATTAACAAATCAAAACAATTTGCTCGTGCGAACAGAAGCCGATGAACAAAATTAACATATTTTCTTAATAACTAACCATATTAAATGAAATTAATGACTGGTTAACCCACAAAATAAATAAAACTAACAGAAATTTATGCTATCATAAAATCATAATTGAAATAGAAAGGCGATGCCCCAGATATTCACCGTGGCTCAAATGGTTATACCTCAAGGTTCAGTTCCAAAGACCATGGGTTTGAATACTATCCAGGCCAGGCATTGGCTTTTTTATTATTTTATTTGTTCATTTTGTTTGTTCTTTTTTATCTAATTTCATGTTTAAAAATTAACTTAATAACATAATGAATAAGATGAAACTGATTAAAAAAAAAAAAAAAACTAAATAGATTTTATGTTCATTCTTCATGATTTCAGTGTGACATTTGCCTTTGCTGGCAACACGGGCACTGTAATGGCATTGAGATGGACAGTGAAGTCCCAGACCAGTATGTGTGCTACATTTGCAGGTATCCGGCGAAAGTTCGAGCCTCGAAGAAATATTCGTATGCAATCCACTACTTAACTCAAGGAAAGCTTCCCAGGTAATAATAGTTAAAACAATTTTATTCGTTCATATTATATACATATTGTAAAGAAGTGAATTAAAATCATTTACAGCTTTAGTTTCCGCACTAAAAATGAGAGGGATATAAAACAAAGGGAATCTGTTTTAAAAAAATGCTATGAGATATCACAAAGGCTCCACGAAATCAAAAATGTGGATCAGAGTCTGAGAGTAAAAATTAACATTGCGGAGTAAGTAGATTGCTATTGTTTTTTTGTTTTGTTTTTTAAATTTATAATTTGATTGTTTTGGTTAATTTTAGGCAACCAGACCATCCAAAACACTACCTCTGGGCCAAAAGTTGGTCTGAAAAGAATTTTAACGGGGTGGAAAAACCAGGGAGAGGAAGTTTAAGTGACAATCAGACAGAGGAGAAATCACCAGGTAACTTTTATGCATAAATTACTCAAAAATTACTGGGAAAAGTTACTTAGTCAACTAATTGAAGTCAACTAACATAGACAAAATTTTCTTATTAATAAGGTTGCTACACAAAAAGAGTTTATTTTCTTAATGATTAATTAAGTTACAGTTAAAATAACACTAGATTAATGTATCCCTTTAAATATTAGTTTAAAATTTAAGTTTAGTTAAATATTTATTGATTTAGTTTTATTCCATCCCCCCCCCTAGCAGTAAATGCTCTCAGGTAAAACAATGAATCTTTAGAGACAAAATAATCGTAGATTTTATTTTCTTCTTAACTTTATAAAATGTCTTATAGATCACGAGAACAAATTAGGCAACAGGGTCCCAGTGCCACCAGAGGCACAGATCGACACGGCAGAGTGCCGTCTGAGATTGCTAGAACATGTTGATGACTACCTTCAGAGTATGGATGACAGACTGACATCACTGCAGACACAGATAGCAGGTTTGTAGACATATTAAGACTTTATGGGCAAGTGTCGACAAATAGCTGCACAAGTCTTTTTCCCATTGTGAACACAGCATAAAGTGGTTTTATTATGTTTATCTGGGTATAGCAGACTGTATTTTGTTTATTTTGAAAGGGAAGGAGAGAGCAAGTAAGTTTCTTTTAGACTCACAATTCAGGGCATCAATCCACTAAATATTTTATATTTTTGTATTCTACCCTTGATCATTCTAAATCGACATCATCGGTCTCCTTCATATCACCCACACATGCTGAGTCAATCTGTCAGTGGCACTACCAGTAGAACCAGTAAGTCTCAACATGATGTCCTTTTTAGATGGCTCAGCTGAACAGAAATACTATCTAAAACACAAAAATACACACAGTCGACTCTTGTTAATTCAAAACTTGATCATGCAAATTTCTGGGTATTATGAACTTCTGAGAGGTCACTTTGGTAAATACAAAAAAATCTGTTTTTGGTACACTTATTAATACGAAATAATTTTTGTAACACAGGAAGAGCATTTTATAAATCGAAACCACTTCCCCTCATTATAAATCAAACTTTTTCTTTGTAATATTCTTGCAAATTTCCACATGTTTTTTACTTCCTTGCAGCTTAAAGTTCTTAGAACCTTTTTGTAGTTTATTATATTTGACATTCAGTTTTGTCAATGAGATATCACTTGTAAACAATAGTCACTTTGGAAAATGATTCATCCAAAGGACGCCAGGCAACAGAATTAAAACCCTTTATGGTTTTTATTAATAGCCCATAACCATGTTCATTTCTACAGTTGATCTGTTTTCACTTTTTCATTAATTTTACAATGTTTTGTATATGTAAAATTTAAGTAAGAACTTTTAAAAATGCATATCAACTTATTGATTTTTTTTGTGTGTTGGCCGCATTTTTTTAGGGGTTGATACAATGCTCATTACTAAGGAAATGTCCCTGGTTTGAATTTAGTGGCCCTATATAACTGCTTACCCGGTCTTTGTCAACCTGTCAGCACATCCTCTTCCTTTCCAGTCACCCCGGTAAACTAAACTCCAATTTTAATTCTGCCACCCACAACTTGTCCAGTTCCAATCCCATTTCTAAAAGTTTCCTCAGGACCACATTGCAGCTCATCTAACTTTTATATTTCCTAATACTAACGATGTCCTCGAAGCCATATCCAAATCCCTTTTCAAGGCCATAGGAGCTAGCATACTCACCGAATTCCTGAAACTCGGCCTCTCAGTTATACTTCCGGTCGTACTTCATACCTTAACTACTCACTCCAGAACTCCCTCATACTGGCAAAAAGCCCTTGTCTACCCTATCAACAAAATTTACCCTTGTGTACCCCATCCACTCCTAATGACTACCGACCTATATCTATTTTATATACCAAAAGTTCAAAGTTACCAGTACCTCTCATAATCGGTGATACTCGCCCATGCGACCTCGTCTGCAAAGTGTTAAGTTAATTTAAAAATATATAGAATAAAATATCTTTCTTTCTTAGCACTGGAATCTCAAGACATTGACCTATCGAGCAACATATCTTCTGACAAGCTGACCAAGCAGACCATCCAGATGCTGTTACGGGACCTGAAATCCGTTCAGAAATTAGCTGCCATATCTTAATCTGCCACGCTGCAGCCTTCAATTGACAATATGTATCATGCCATTGTCGAAGGCATTGTATACAATAAGTTTCTATATTTTCATTTAGTGTAAATAAATGTGCAAAGTCATCATATTTATATAAATATATATATATATACACAGCAATACCGTAATTAAATTATTTTTTAAATAAGATCATGTTTTGTTTTCATGTTTATTTCCATACTATCAACAGCAAAAACACCAAAGTATTGGTTAGACAAGTGAAGAAAATATTGTTATAAATATAAATTATAAACCAATAAAATTATTGAAAAAAGTGTATTAATATAAACAAAGTTAATTAATACAGATATATAAAATAATTGACCATACAAAAATGGTTACTCCATATAAAACAATAAATTGGTCACTCTTATAAAAGTATTTAAAAAATCACAAATTAACGAGGTCTCTGTTTAACAGAAAATTAAAAAATTCCTGACTATAAAACCAAAAATTATGTTGTCTTTGTTGCATTTCAACATTAAAATTGCTAGATATGTTTCAAAAGTTCTTCCAGATTTCTTATTGCTTTTGCGAAAGATGACTGCAATTTATGAATCTGTCTCAGTTCAGCCTTCACCCTTGCTTTAATGCCCTCCCGCTGGAAACAGTAAAAAAAGTAGTCAGTTTGTTTCTAAAAAGATAATTTAAAAAAAATTACATCTGATAATGGGTCATCCTCTTTCTGATCAAACGTAAGGAGTTGATGTGTTTTTATTCCATTTTTTTCAGCGTCTTTTTCCAGCCTGTCTTTGTCCCGTTTTGGACAACTGCAAATCTTGACGCCCAAGACACTCCTTCCCAAGATTTCACCCCTATGACAAAAAAGTACTGATATTAAAAAAGATTTGTTACAAAAATAAAACAGATTCGTCCATCTGTTATATTCTACAAACCTTGCGTTTTCTAATGTAAATACAACATTGATTGGTCTCCGCTGCATTCCCTTCTGACAGCTCGTTTTACAGGCAAATGTGTATAAGATATCGAATGAGTTTCGTCCAGGCTGCTGGTTGACCAACTGCAAGGCGACCGAATGCCTCCTATTGTGACGATTGTAAAAGTACATCGCTCCTGCTGACTGACTCCGCACGACATGACCGACCAAGTTGTAGTAAGGACATCGACAAATGTCATCACTCCCATGAGCTAAAGTTCAATTCGCCTGTTCAGCCACGAAACGTTTACAACGAAAATAACAGTTACCTTCATTTGTCGGATCATCTTCAATTGAATGTATCGTACACCTGTTCACAGGGAGACCGATGTAATCCGTGCTGCAATAAACTGGCATTGCACGTATGAAAAGCTCTTCATCCTTGTTTACTGGACAGTCGTATACAAACTGCACCATCAACACTTTGTTCATGTCAATAAATACTTGGTTGAATATATTGGAGTACTAAAAAATAATTAATTAAAGTCTAGACAGTAAAGCCAGTTTTCAATTTCATTTTACCTCCCATGAGGATTTGTAGCTTCCGCTGTTTCGTAAGAAGAACTCAAAATTGTATATCCCTGGAAAATTTGACAGTGAAGGTACTTGTTTGTTGTTGTGAATGTCTTCTGCAGATTCTTGCAGAACTTGCGTCGAGTCACAAATCTGAATATCTTCTAATTCTTCCTATAATTAAAAAAGAAAGAAAAATTAAAAGGTAAAGCTTGGGTAAAAAGTTTCTCAACGTTTACAATAAAATAAACGATTAAATAGGGTGTTAAAACATTTTTTTTTAATATGTACCAATCTGGATATCAGAAATGATCAAATCCACAGGAAAAAAATAAAAGTTTCAAATTTCACAAAAGCTTTTGAAAAATAAATGTTTATTCTGATTTCAGCCAGCTTAAAATTTATAGTTTTTTGCAATTGTGTTGGTCTGCTTATTTTGTTGGTCAACAAATTCTTAATTTCTTAAGATTAAGGTCTTAATTTCTTTTCTTCTTCAGAGATGGGTTTATCTGAACATGGTGATGGTTGAATCACATCTGATGAACCAAAACAGTGACGCTAGCAGTTCAAATTGACTGGAAATAACCAAACTATAGGTTAATTACCCCACAAATTTCAAGAGGAAATCTCAGATGAAAGTTCTTAATGAAGCGTTTATTTAATATCTAGCACAGTAAAAAAAAGTGTTAAATCTGAAAGTTTTGGGCTCTTGCTGGAGAAAAACCACAAACTGGAGCATCTCGGCAAAACTGTGGTTATTGTCTGGGTATCTGGACCTAATGGTCTGGATGGGGTAAAGAACGTAAAGACACCAGGACGTCCCAATTTCCAGACAACTACCACGATCCAGTCCTCTGTTGCTATCAATACAATAAAAAACATGGTTGAAAGAAAGTGGCACTGTTGATGGGCCAGATTGGCAGAGAAAATCTCACATATCAAGAGCATTTTCGATGGGTGGCCCTTGCAGGATATGTCTTGTAGAAGAGGGGTCATCCTCAACCAATTAAGGATAGGCTATGCAAGGACACATGGATATACTTTTGGACCAAAGCTTACATGTGTCTGGCATGCAGAGAAAGGTTGGTCGATGAGTCCCAAAAAGTGCATTCCTTGGCTACATATAAACAGTCTGTAACCCATGTGAAAAATATGCTTGAACACAGCAGGAAGTCTTCTGGGTCCACTATTACAATTTTTGGAGGAAACAGGATTTTTTATTGTATATAATAGTGATAGTATGTACTTATTGGCATGAATATGTAGTATGAGAGGGCCAATGGCAAAATATTCAGTTACCCATCGATCACCAATTAGGTTAGTTATAGGTGAAACTGGCGATGGAGGAATATCAAGCACTCCACTCCCGTAACTGAGTGAATGTATGCAAATAAGAAAGAATGTATTTAAAAGTGAGTGAAAGAGTGAATGGGTTTGTTTTAGGAATTGATGTGTTGGGATCTGAAATGACCTAGCTGCCCCTATCTTGCGGTTGGATGTATAAGACCAAGGTTTGACCTCGGAGTGCCAACACCTGGGGTGGGTGATTCTTGAGGCCTGCCGTTAGGTTACTGTCCATGGGCAGATTTCAGCTTACATAAACCTGCAATCAAATTTGATTCTTACTGACCATCTTGGTCTGCCTATCCTCACTGGGATGTCAGACACGTTTCATCATGGGTCTGTGCGATTTCTTTGAAGTCAAATCTCTTTTATAACTTACTGAAGGTGGAATCTGTTGGCACTCTTTGAAATTGGCAAAACACCGAAATGTGTTTTTAAACCAACTCAGCGAGGATAAAGGAGTAAAAAAAAATTCGGATCAAATTATAGGTTCATCACCCAATAGACCATAGGAAGAAATATCAAAATGAATATACATCTTAATCTGTTTATTTCAGTATTACTTTATATTTAAAACACTTGTGATTTAGAAAGTAGAAAAAGGTTTAGAATTGTATAAAGTTAGTGTTAAACCCATATCAAATTTCTGCCCAATGTTCAAAAAGTGGCTGTTGAATTATAAATAATTTGTAAAGTTATTTTGTTATAGCAATATTTTGACATGTTAATTGCAACAATACAAACGGGTTACTTTTATTTGTACATTATGAATTTAAATTTAAATTGTTTGTAATTTCAAAGGCACTCTTGACACGACACTCAAGAATGTCACAATTACACAGAAGAAAAACACTTTGAGTGAGTAGAAATACTTTGATTGAATATATAAAAAATATATAATGTAATTGTTATATGTAAACAATGTTTGTAAATCCCAGACCCTGAAGATGATATCAATAAAGATCGAAACGTTGGCATGATAAAGAAAACGTTTTTCTGAAACCTACATCACACCAGACCGCATCTCACGATTTCTAAATAAATAAAGTAATTTCAAAAGTAAAATACCAGGTATGTTTGATTTTTCTGTTGGTTTGCAATATGACGTTTGCCTTATTTGCCTAATTACGTATTAAAAAATGATCAGGGTGTTTAGAAAGAATTGTCAAGTACTTAAAATTTTAAATAATATATAATTAACATTCACAACCAAATTCACAATTTTGAAACTTGCAATTTCAAGTACTACATTGATATTGAATATGAATCGAGATAATAATAGCACCAGATCAAACATGACCAGGGCATTCCTTGTGGATTTAAATTTTAAAACTCTGAACTTATAAAAGTGGGAAATGCCCAATGTTTGTTTAAACGTTCAGAAAATTGGTTCCAATTTTTAAAATTGGCATTAAATACTGTATTGTGTGTATTCTGAGCAAAATGAAACTACAAATTATTAAATAACCCACTAACATAGGTAGATTATAAAGGTGGTGACTTTAATTTTGCGAGAATGTTTTTGTTGCTTTATTGTTCATACAATTATGTATGATGCATGATAAAATATTTAAATTTATGTTCTTTTAAGTACAGGCAAGAGCCATTTTTCAATTATTCAATAGATGTACATATAAAAAAATTGTACATATGTATATATGTAAAAGAGAATATATACACATACAAAAAATAATAAAATCAAAATAAAATGCACAATGAAAGGTAATATTAAAATAATAAAAATGTATATATACAAAGAATGAGAATTATGGAAGAAATGAATGAATTGATTTTTTTTTAATTAGAGAAGAAGTCATCATCTAAATTAAAATGTTTTGTAATTTTTACACACGTTTGAACTTGTATCCAAACTTGACCTACTTTGCATACATCAGCAGAATGTTTTGCATCCTAAAAACATATATGTACAATGTCAAAATTATCAAGCCGGTCAAAAAATATCAATGAGCAGTTTTAAATGCGATGTGTAGCGGTTAATGTTTAATGTTTGCAATCCATGTTTTAAAGGACGATTTGCCCAGCCAATTTGTGAAGAGATGGTAAGGTGGGCTAGAGTTGATGGAAGGACGTCGACTGAGTGTCCTCGTTTGTAAAGATCGGGCAAATTGAGAAAATCCCATGGAAACTCACCTTCTTTACGGTAGTCTCCATTTCCATCGTCTCTCCAATTATAGGACCGAATCAATGAAACAAAACCCGGCAAACTAGGCGAAACTAACTACTCAAGATCGTACTGTATGGATGTTGTTCATTCTTGTGGCATCATGTCAGTTCTGGCTACGTTTGGGCGAAAAACAAACAAACACGATTCCTGTCGGTTCCTTCTCGCAGACTTTTGTTTATTTACTGTTTATTTACGTTATATCTAAATACAAAAACGTTTTGCCATGTTTATTTTCCGTTTCAGTTTGTAACATCCCTTACAAAGAGAAACTCAAAAAAAGAAGAAATAGAATACATTGAAAAATAATAATAAATTAGTAATAATATAATATTTAGTATATACAAAAATAAAATTAGAAAACAAATGTAATTAAATTTAAGTAATAAATAGGGAAATTTAATCAAACCGGAATAAAGCATGTTGGGACATAGGTTCAAAAAGCTAGAGAAGTCTCCTACGCCCGAGAAGAAAAGTTCTTATTTCTAAATTTTCTAAAAAAATTTAAATTCTATCTTCTATGTAAGCATGTCGGGTTCGAATGCAGTGCCGCTGGATTCGAACCCGGGACCTTTACAGTGATGAGCGCCGTGTCAACGCCTAAACCGTTGTGGCCACCGACGCCCCCTTAAAAAAAGTGTAAAAAATAAATAAACAATAAAATTATTATTGATCTCTTTTCCATAAAAAATATTTTTTTATTACATTTATTTGGTATTTACAACTACAAATACAGTATTAAGTAAATATGTTCATATATGTTGAATTTGTCATTTAAGTCTCTTATAGGGGTGTTGCCCTGGGCCGGGAATCAAGTGCCCAAAAGAAAAATTCGAAATCGCACCGGCCACACTTTACACTTCTTGTATTTAAAAATTGACAGAAGATGCAAAGAAAGTTTGAAGAAAAACACCAGACCAATAATCGGTAGACGGATTGTAATACATACCTGTACTATGCTTTGTAAATAATAATATATTCACAGCTATGTTCATGGAAATAAAAAGCATTAATAATACAAAAAAAGCACGAATAATATCCATTACAGCGATGGGCACATTAAAGGATATATTTATTTTTTATGGTAATTCGGATCCTAATAATACTTCAATATTTCCTGCGGGTCTATCTATCCAAAGTCTACTTTTTTTTTCTATGAAGGCTGCTATTATTTTATACATTTACACTGATTAATTATTATGCTTACAGTTGAACGAAAAACTGAAGTATGGACACGAGTCAAAATTTTGACAAATCTCGTTTCAAATTCTTTTTCGCCGAAAATGATGGTTTTGTCGATAAGACTGAAAAACTTTCAAGATGAATAGTTGCGTTTTTGGATATTTGCCTTTTTGTCCGTTTAAAATGTATATTTCCGTTTTTATTATTATATCTTCAATACAAAGGCCTATTTTAATTTGTTGTCTTTGTATAAAATGCATGAATAAGCAAATATTTCGTGTAAAAATTTGGGATCAGATATACTATGGGATTTATATCCAAATGAATTTCGTCTGCCTATCCTCACTGCTTTGATTGGTCAGATATTTTTGAATTTCTTGCCATCTTCAGTGATAGGTTGAACTGAAGATGGCGAGAAGTTGAACCACGCCTAGACCAAACGGCGACAGGCAGACCAATACAACCGGAAATAACCAACTACGGGTTAATTGTCCCGCAAATTTCAAGAGGAAATCCACAGATTAAAGTTGCTAAATGAAGTATTTGTTTTAAAAGAAACAGAGTAAAAAGTCCAAAATTTGTGTTAAATCTGCAAGTTTGAGTAAAGCTAGATAATTATAATTAAAGACTTGGAACAAAATACAACTTTTTTAAACCCAAGGTAAACGATCACCAAGGAATCCTTTTTAAAAAGATAGTTCCGACTCACAATAAGTTGTTTTTCAACGATCCGGATTTCGAGCCTTTAGCACATTGTCAGGTTGAAGGAGTTCTACAACCTGATGATGAGCTAAAAGCTCGAAATCCGGATCGTTGAAAAACAACTTATAGTAGGAACTATCTTTTTAAAAGGACTGAACCGCTCTCATTTCACCATTCATCATTTCTATCACCAAGGAATTCTTTTTAAGGACAACGACTTTTAAGCAAAAGAAACGTTTTTGATGTAGTTGTAATATAGTTAATAAATAGCTGTAATGTAATTTGATCTTTGTCGACCATCTTGGTCTGTTTATCCTTGCTGGGTTGGTCTGATAGGCATTTTTCAACTTTTGCCTATGTGATTTCTTTGAAGGCGAATGAATCTCTTTCATAACTTTTTTGAAGGTAAGGGTCGTCACACTGAAGATGGAAAAATGTCGAACCGACAGACCTAACCAGCGAAGATAGGCAGACCAAGATTGCAATCTGAAAAGTTCAAGAAGTTGAACAACGTCACAGACGAAAACGACGACGATAGGCATACCAATACGACCAGAAATAAATGAACCACAGGTTTATTATCCCGCAAAAATAATGATCAAAAACAGCAAAATAACAGCAAAAACAGCAAATGATCGAAAAACAGCAGAGGTTATATCAACCCTCGGGGTGCCGGTGTTTTTGAAAAAAGCCCATTTGTAAGTATGTCGGGTTCGAATGCAGGGCCACTGGATTCGAACCCGGGACCTTTACCTTACAGTGATGAGCGCCGTGTCAACGCCTAATGCGACCACCGACGCTTCCTGATGTTAGGTAATTATGTAATTATTTATGTATTTATTACAATATTGCTTTATATTTAAAACGCTTGCACTTCTGAAAGTAGCAAACGATTGTATCAAGTTACCGTTAATTTGTGGTCAATAAGCAACTATTTCAGGTAAAAATTGGGTTGTAGACGAGGTAATGTTCATTTCTGGCTTTACACCAAAATCATTTTGGTCTATTATCCTCGATGTCAGACGCGTTATGGTATTTCGCCGGTAATGACCAAATTTCAAGTTCATCACCGCAGAAAAACACGGAGAAATCTCACAAAATAAAGAGAACTCATAAAAATACATATGCTCGCTAATATTCGTACCATTGGAGTGCTGAGAACATCTGCCACAGCTGAATGGAGAAAATATGCACCAAATGATAAAGAGAACAACAAAGAAAACTGAGCCCAACGTCGATAAAGAAGAATCTCTAAAATAATTAAAACTTAAATGAAGAACAAGAACAAACTTATTGAAAAATAATCGATACCCGCGGTTCCTAGGATCAAGGAGATTTGCTTTTAAACAAAACATCCAGACAAACCTAAATACATACCAAAATGGAATATGAAATTGGAAAAGCCTTCAGTCAACGAATATACCTGTCGATACATCAATGTATCTCGGAAGTAAGAAGGTACTGGCCTACAGGGGCAGGGATATTTGGTCCCATAATCAAATATTCTGAGCCCATAGGCTTGTACTTTCTAACCGCACGCAATTGAACAATAGAAGTAAAAATTGAAATGCAAAATAATTAAAATAATACAGCATTATTGTATTAACATGTTTGATTAATCGACAATAAAAACCAAAAAGTGTATATTACTTAATCCACATGACACGGTCTAAAAATAAATTATATCAATTTACCAAATCTTCGTTCACTCCGATTTCCTTTATAAGATCAGACGGCATGCTGAAAAAACAGAAAACATTAGCAATTTAATTAAAATGAGAGGCGAACAGTTGAAGTTGAGAAGACTCACTCTTTCCAATTCGAATTCAGCACGTGCAGCAGCATCGAATCGCTCGTGTTCATTTCCATGCTAAAATTACAATTCTACGTGAAAATACCGATCGTGATTTGAAAAACATTGATCAAAATATGAAATTTTAAAAATCTTCTACATACTCTTTCCACGGCAAGTTCAGTTCCTGAACTGGGACAAGCATCGAATCCTTGGTTGGCGACTGCATGCTGAAATCCACCAAAGAAAATTAACAAATAACTAGTTTTAATATCATTTAACATGGAATGCATTAATAAAGCTTCAACTATTTTGATAATAATAAAATTCTGAAGGAAAAGTTAAGGCCACTTATATATATATGTCACTTAAACTCCTTTTCCTTCAAATCATGGACTTTCACCTATCTTACATTGTCTGTCTGAATATTGTACTAACATTTTTCTTTATTTGCATAAACATTCAGTTATATTGAATTGACACTGGTGATGTAGTTTACAATAGATCGTGTACAAGTACAGTAACACAATGCCATGCTATGAACTAAAAACAGTTTAGAAAATTGTAAAATAAGTCAAAAAAGAAACCTTATTTATCAAAAAACAACAAAAGAAACCTTAATTTAAAATATTGAAATTTCTTTGTTACAAGAAAATAATTACCAAGTGTTAAGGTTGACTGTAATTACTACTTAATGCTTTTAAAAAAATAACTTTGGCCCAAGTAGTAGTAAAATAAGTACTGCTAAGACCCTCCAATTTGATCGTACATTTGGGTTTAAAAAGGAAGATTTTGGTCAAGTCTTAAAAACGTTTAAATCACGATGATTAGTAATAGTAAAAAAAATTATTTGTGAGATGTCTACTTGGGTTCTGTAGGTTGCGAACCAGTAGTTTGGCCATTTGACTTTATTTTGGACAACGCGGTTGTGCTTCTCGCCATCTTCAGTACCAGGACAGAGTTTTAAACAGGGCGAGATACCAAACTAATAACCCTGACAGCTAAAGATGTGCCCATCTAACAGATCAAAAAGACGGGAAAAGGCCAACTTAAATTTTTTTAAGCAGTACGGTTTGAAGCTTCGTGTGGAACTTTTGGAAACTGGATCGGATCAGTTCGGCCGTTGTGGATAGTGAGGTGATTTAGGCGCTTTGAAAGTTTGCCTAAGGACTTTTAATTGGAACGACTGGATTCGTTGGATGGCTTTGCGGAACCCCACGGTTCAACCCCGTATGTCCGGAATGTTTTGTACAGGGTTAGATGAGTTTTGACGGTCTTCGTTTTAGGCTTTTGTCTTATCTGTGGATTTTTCGTCAGTCTGTTGTCTAGGTATAAACTTAAGTATCTGACTTCAGTGGAAGTTGCTCCTTGTCGTTGATGCACCATGGAGGGCAAAACGGTCTTTTTAATGGTCACTGGGTACATTTTTCCTCAAACGGTTTTGTCCTCCTGTGCTTGGATTTTGGAGGTTGCTTGGATAAAGATTGGGGTTAGAAGATTGCCACCATAATAATGTTGTTCGGATGTATAATGTATAGGAAAATCGGTAGTGTAGGTTGTACGGTTCATGGGACCAAGAATGCTTGTTTTCATTCAGTTTTTAAGTTTGAAAACTTTTTTTTACAGAAGATTATCAACAATTAAAGTCTCGGATCTCAATTTTGTTTATTTCGGCAACCCACCATTTTTTTTTACATTGCAGATTTTTTAAACAAAACTAAATATATAAATATATTATCTACCCAATATTGTAGTAATACAATCAGAAAATGATCAATTTCTAATTTTTCGAAATTTTAAAATACGCAATTAATTAAAATTGTTTGTTATGTTTTTAAGCAGTAAGTAGGCCGTCAAAAATACTCAAACGTTTGACGTTTAGAACTTTTAAAGTTATTACAAAAAAATAAATAAATAAAAGATAAAAATGTTGAACAAATTTTGTCGAATACCAAATTTAAAACAAAAATTCGTCGGGCTATTAGTTAAATTTCCGACAATTTGATCGCATTTAATTCATATTTTGTATTTCATCAGAGAAACGACTTAAAAATAAAGCCTCTTTTACAATATATTTTATGGAATATGACTAAATAATAAATATTGTTAATAATGTGTGGTGACCTCATCTCACGATTTCCGAATAATCATTTTTTTATAGTGCCTACGTTTCGATCTTTAATTAGATCATCTTCAGGGCCTGGGATTTACAACATTGTCTATATTTAACAAATATATGTAGGATGTGGAAAAAAATGAATTTAGACATCGCAAAAAAATATATATTTTTTATATTAAATTAAAGTATAGTACGCAAAAATAAACACTTTGAATGAGTAGAAATACTTTGATTGAATATAAAAAAAAAATTTTCATTGTATAAATTCTCTTTTATAAATCCCAGGCCCTGAAGATGATCTCAATAAAGATCGAAACGTTGGCACGATAAAGAAAAACATTTTCTGAAACCTACATCACACCAGACCTTATCACACGATTTCCGAATAATCATTGTTAATAATTAACGGTTTATTCTGGGACTGTCTTCAGCCAAATATGAATTTTTCCTTGTATGTTGATCACAACTCTATTTTAAAAAATCGTCCAATTACTTGCCTTAATAAGCCAGGACAGTTGAATATTAATTATTAATTACCTGAACTAGGTGAATTGTTAAATGGTCAGTTTCAACGTTGGCCGTGGAACATGGAATAGCGAAAAACATCACTCGGGAGATGACCGTTGACTTGTAAACACAATTTTACTTAATTCCATTTCTTCAAATCCTATAAACAGAATATCACCGACTTTTCATTATCAAATTGGATTAAACTTATCACGATTCTAAATGAAAATATCTAGAGGTAAGAACAATTACTTGGGATATTGGCTAATTAATGCCGAATTCATCCCGACGAACTAATAAAACTGGGAAGTTTTCTTTTTACGAAAATTGTCAAAAATAGTGAATTTTAGAGGATTTTGTTATTTGAAAACCTGGGAAATCAAAAGTTAAAGAAAAATACTTTTGTTCCCTTTATGAAAATAAATGTAATATCATTAATTTTAAAAAGGACTAAGTTTGTTCTCATTATTTAATTTGTTTTGTCAATATTTTAATATCCTTTGACAATCCTTGCCTTCATGTTTTATTTTCAAAAGATAAAACTAGGTTTATAAATATACGATATATATTTAAATAACATATCTGTAGACGCAGGAAAGAAACACGTTTTTTAAATTGTATTTATTTACATGCTTCATATAAAATATTATATGTAATACAAGTATAACATAAACATAAGTATAAAATATATATACAAGTGTAATTAATATTATGTTAAGAATAATTTATAAAAATGCGAATAGAAAAACGGAGAATGAAGATATGATGTCGGGGCTTCGGTGGCTGCAACGGTTTAGGCGTTGACACGACGCTCATCACTGTAAGGTAAAGGTGCCGGGTTCGAATCCGAAAAAAGACTAAATGCTGGGTTCACCTAGCTTTCGGCACCTTATAATGCCATCATCAGGGCTTTTCCAAGGATGAGAAAACTATTAACATGGAAAACTACTGTACAAGAGTTTTGGGTTTAAGGTTATGGAGCACGTAGCCATCATAATACATTTTTGACGGTGAAACAGACATCTCGCTAAAAATCCGTATGACTAAAGGTCCAACTATATTTTTATTCTGACTAGTATTTTCTTACAGGTACGTTCACAGAGAATATTTACAAAAATTGCTATTTTATATATTTAAAACTGAAATTACAGCTATTTACAGGAACTATATACAAAGGATTAAAATTAATGAGAGAGAGCGACGAACCCCGTCATTTTCACCGTCAAAAATGTATTATGCTGGCCATGTGCTCCATAACCTTAAACCCAAAACGCTTGTACAATAGTTTTCCATGTTAATCGTTTTCGTCATCCTGACAAAGCCCTGATGATGGCCGTTTTAAGGTGCCGAAAACTCAGTGAACGCAGCATTTAGCCCTTTTTTCACCTGTCTAATGACCTCTACGAAAATTAGACCCTGCATAAAACGGAGAATGTTACTTAAAATGAACATAAATAAAAGTAAATATATATAAAATATGAGCCTAATAATAAAATTAACAGACAGATTAATTAAAAAATATATAATCATACGACATTTACAATTTTTTCTTTACTAAATTGAATTAAAATTTATTGATTTTGAAATGTTTACAGTAATCTTTATCCATGAGCTTGTTCTGATCAGGTAGCTACTTCTTGCTTTTCAGTGAGCAGTTCTTTATCCAAATAAAAAGTGATTCTTTTTCGTATATTGGGTGTTGAATATTTTGCTCTACAGCATAGCTGGCTGGTAGGAGCATTTTAAGATTATTATTATTATTTATTTTATTAAGATGGAAGCGGAAAAAATACGTATTGTTTGGGCCACGTTGTGTTAAAATGTGCGTTAGTGCTGCAACTTTGAGAAAAAAACTTTCTTGTCTGTTTTCCATTAGTTACAATTGACTTAACATTTTCCCATGTTTCAAAGCTGTCGTGAACAACTTTTTGTCAATTAATGATTTTGGAAGTTTGTTCTATGCCGCAAACACATGTCAGTCGAGGCTAGTTCGGCCAGTTTGTCGTCTTCATTCCCTTTTATTCTGCAATAATTTTTTACTCAACCTAGTTCTATATACAGTAAAAAAACTGTTTACTCTGAAAACCAGAATAGGGGATCCAGATACCCGTTGAAGTGGTTAAGCACAATTCTCATATCTGGTGCCTACACGCGTTCTGTATGGAGCCAACGAATAGCACCCTTCATTTATGTAGGACATCGAGCAACCTTTCTCCACATGTCAGACACATATGTGGGCTTTGGCCCAAAAGTAAGTCCATGTGTCGGACCCTCGTTTGGGTGAGGATTCTACGAATCCGATCCTCATATCGACAATGAACATGATACGTGAGATCTTTTCTGCCAGCCCGGCCCACTGACGCTGCCACTTTCTTTTAATCATGTTTTTCATATCAAAGCATTAAAAAAATTAACCTTAAAGATTCGATATCTATCTGGGAGCATCATATTTAAATAAAATTAACACCATTGCAGCAAATTAGAGACAAAACTGTAGGATGTAGGTTTAAGGACAATGTTTATGTTAACAATGTCAAAGACTTTAGAGAAGTCTATGAGCATGGACTGGGTTGTGGTGGTAAATAGATTCAAGTATATAGTTTTAATGATTAACAAATTTAAAAGAAACTGACTGATTTGTTATGAAACCCATGCTGTTGGAATAATTGTTGAATCATCATTATTATTATAAATTCTCATAGATAGGGGACAGGGATGAAAGAGGCGGCCAAGACCTACTGCACCTCAACCAGAATAGATCTCTTGTGCTCTATCTATTTATAACTCACTATCCTGCTTCAGGTTATTAATCAGCCTCTACAGCTTTGCCAGTGGCTACTTAGTGTGATCTTGCTTGCGGTTTTTCTTGCCCTAGTTGCAAGAACCTGCACCTACATAGACCTTCACAGTCTCCTCCTGTTCCTGGCAGTATCTGTACAGGGTTTCTTCTGTCTGTACTCCTATCAGGTGCATGTCTTTCTTAAGTGGCAGTGTCCTGTCAGGAGTCCAACCAGAATCCTGGTTCGGTTGCGGTTGTCTTCCAATAATTCTTTTGTAAGTTTTGCGGATGGTCATTCTATGAATCTCTTCGCGCGCCTCGTACCTGTGATATTATTCCACCAGGTTTTGGACTCATAAAGGATCTATTTTAAGATGTATCCTCTTTTGTGGCAGGATGCTAAGCCACAGTAGGGTTCAGGACCCAGAGAGTCCAAGTTGGCCACCTTTTTAGCCAACATGTCAACCTTTTCGTTGCCTCTGTGCCCCGAGGCCCCGGAGTGCCCAGCGGACAGCGACCGATGCCAGGGTTAGGTCATTGGTGTCGCTGACTTCCGTCAGGGCCTCCATGCAGTTCCAAACACTCTTTGTCTTCGCCTCATTCTCATAGGTAGTTGATTCAAATCATTTTAAAATTGCAATTTTTTTTTAATTGGTCTTATGATCTTTGCATATTAGCCATGACGAATCTCTTATATATGTTGTTCAAATTGGGGGTTATCGGGAAAAAAGGGCCAGAGGCGACGGTGGGAATCGAACCCACGACCGTGAGAGTCTATCATGCTAACCACTCGGCTACCGCGGTCCCCTTAAAAAAATTGCAATTAAAAGTTCAATAATCAAAAAACAAACAAAAATGATCGAAAACGACCAAACTATAAGATTTTTATAGCCGGTTGAAAATGGTGGACGGTGAGATTGAAATTGTAGTTCCCGCCTCACTACGTCCTAGATAACTGGGTTAGGTACACATGTACACTGTAGTTTGGAGGTTACAATAGCGCCGACCGCCGGTTTTGTTTACCATTGGCAACACTAGTACTATTATGGATTTGTATGTAAATTGACATCGAGAAGGCTAGCGAACGATGGGTGTTACGATCCTGCAGCAGTTTTCAATGCTGGAGAACAGAACGGGCCCGCAGACGATCGAATTCCTCACGAAGAGAGTGGTCGCACTGGGTGCGGTGCAGTGCGGCCAGTTCCTCGTCGACTGCGACACGTACGTTTCCAACCCGTCACTCGGGCCGCAGAGGACAGTGCACGTTCTGCACAATTCCGAGCAGCCCGCTTCTGTCTTCTCCCTGCTTGAGACGGGCTCGAAGAGCATCCCACTCGTCGCCGACGGCCTCTTCGACTTGCTCATGCTCAAGATGACGCCGATCTACACGAAAAAACAGCCCAAGATCGAGTCGAAAGGGCCGAGGTTCGAGCTGGCAGACTTCTGCATCAAACTCGGCAGCGTCACCATCAGCCAGAACTTCAAGGGCGTCCTGGTCGAGGTGGAATACCGGCCCTGCACCGTACCGTCCTACTGCTCCGGACTACTCAGGGAGTTCGCCCAAGGATTTCTCGGCTCCTGTGTTCAAGGGCTTGGCCCGTACTTCACAAACCGCATGGACGAGTCTTATCAACCGATAGACACTGTACAGCAATATTTAGAACACTTTACCATGTACAGAAAAGCAGCATATGCTGTTTAGTTAATGCAAAAAAGCTGGACTTCAAAGTAAATGTGTTAAACATTTTTTATATATGTGCAAAGTTTGAAAATATACTAACTTATTATTTTATTTATATTTTTGTATCATTGAAATATGTTCAAACCTTCAGATATTTCAACCTGTACCATCGACATTTTACCCTGCTTTTCTAAAGTACAATCCCAATACAGCTGTTGAAATTTAATAACAACTCTTTTTAGCACATCCGATAAATTGTGCAGTTTAATTTGAAGGGTAAATGGTTAATAATAAATATTGTTAAATCATTTTTTCATAAGGAAAAAAAAAAAAAAATCATTTTTATTTTATTTTGTTATTTACCATTACTTTTAATATTTTTATGCTAGAAGAAATGAAAATTTCGTTCTTTGCAAGAATTGTAATATTCTTATTACATATCAAAATTTTTGCATTTCTTCTAATATAACGAGCATCCACTAGTGTACATAATGTGGTAATGTCATAGACGATATTTACAAAGTTAAAAAAAATTCACTAATTTGACTACCTTCAATCTATAAGGATATAAAATAAAGTATATAATAAGAATATTTCTTATGAAATTTTGCTTTGGTGATGGTGGTGAATCAACTGACGATAATATTTTTAATGAAAAGTAAAGTAATTTCTGTTCTATGTGCTTTGTTGGAGAGATACCATGAATTGGTGCACCTCTGCAAAATGGTAGTAGTTGTCTGGGTCTCGGTCTGGAGGGCAACGAAAAGGCGGCTAAGGCTGGGATATCCCAACCTCCAGACTTCACCACTGCAATCCAGCCCCTTGACGCTAAAAATACAATAAAAGTCATGATTAAAAGAAAATGGCATTGATTTGCCTCGATGCTCTTGCATATAAAGAGCACTGTCAATAGGAGGCCCTGGGAGGATGTGATTCATAGGAGAGGGGTGACTTATTTTTTTAGGCCAAAGCTCTTGTATGTCTAGTATGTTGCTCAATGTGTCCCACCTTATTGAAGGGTGAAACTCCTTGGTTCTCCATATAGACAGCATGTAGGAATGCCACTTGAATGAGAATCTTGCTTGAGCATGGCAATATCTGGGTCCCCTGTTCCACTTTTTGGAGAAAACAGGGTTGTTTTTTTGTGTTCAAGACACAACTAATAGGTTTGTGTCCCTAGTGTGTATTGAAAGTGAGTGTATTTATTGACATGAATGTGTAGTGTGGCTGGGCTGATGGCAGAATATACAGTACTCCATTGATCCTCAATTAGGTTAGTTATATAATAAGTGTAAAGGCTAATAGAGGAATATTAAGTACTCCACTACCCCAATTGAATGAATGGTATGTAAATAAGTAAGAAAGTATTTAAGAGCAAGAGTGAAAGGAAATTATTGTGTGGGGGGACAGAAATGACCTGTGTTGGTAACCATCAGAGTCCAACCTTACTGGCCGGATGGAAGACTAACCCTGGACTGCCAACACCCAGGGTGATTGATTCTGCTGGTAATTTATTGTAAATTACAAAAGCTGGAATTGCCTGTGGACTATGATAAGTGATAAGCTCAATCCTATACATGTGTAGATTTGAGTTTATATCACTAATTCCTGCCATACAGGATGGTTTAATGTCCAATTACCCATTGGGTGTTCTGGACAAGATTTAAAAAGCCATGAACTATGCTGGTATTTGAATCCAGAACCTCGAGCATGACAAATATATATAGGACACTAACAACTCAGCCATTGAAGGTTATGACTAAGCCATTTCTGTAGTTCCCAACGTAACCATGCTTATCTAGTTTGTGATATTGATATATGACAATAAAGTAGTAGAACATGTGTCAATTGAGTACTTGATTCAATGTGCAAATATTCATATAAACACTGAAAAACAATTTATTCAAAAGGAAGGCATATATTTCATCCAAGGGACCCACAAATCTACTGTTCTTTTTATAATGGCTATCATACCCAATTGCACTAAGTAGTATGCCAGCCAAGAAAAGTTTCTATAAGCCTGCCTAGGCAGAGAAGTAAATAGGTGTGGGTGTGTGTCAACAACTTATGATTTATTCTAAGTCAGAGGATAATAAAAAGCTCCATATGAGGTAACCTTCACCAAGACTGACAAACTCACAGTTGCAATTAGAGAGGGCCAGACTTAGAGGAGTGATAGGACTATTAACAAGTCACCATTATCTAAGAATACATCTACACAAATGGGCATATTGAACGATGCATTTTATGCAATGAGGAAGAGAATAAAAATGAAATTGTAACTGCGACAGGCAATGACCTAATACTTCTGACAAGAAGCAATGAGTCAATGTCACCAAACTATATAACTAGGAAGGTACAGTAAGCCAAAGGCTGCAGTGCCTGGGGAGCACAAATCCTGCTTCCTAGTATCAATCATCATCATCTAGCTAAGCTGTCCAGAGGAAATTCTATCAATAGAGTTACACTGCTAATTAGACAAAAAATGCTATTTGCATGGAATTACTAGTTAGGTTGCCCTGTCTTTGGGCCCAAAACTAATTTTATTTTAGTTTAAATTGGAAAAAGTATTTTAAAGTGGTTGTGAACCATTGTTTGCGATACTCAACAGGTAGCTGGACCACTGTATGAAAGGAATTACTTTACTTTCACTATAAGCATATTTTATATCTGCTGCACCAAGCACCATATCTGGAGGGAGATTGGTGAGGGTGTCAGACTCGTATTTGTCACGCTAACGATTCTGAGTTTTCAATCCCTGTAGATTCCATGGATTTTTAATAGATAATAGTGTTAAAAATGTATTGTAAAGAGGTTTGACCCCTCCGAACGGATGTTAAGCCCTCCTGCATGACAGGAATTACTTTTTATAAACATATTTCTATGCACGTAGAAACACTGCCTTATTCATTTAAAGCATATCAAATAAGCAATAATAAAATAAAAATTTCACAACGCTTTTTTTTTATATAATTTTTTAGTTTACACAATACAGCACATTAATCAACCCAACTAAATATAAACTGAGAACAAAATAAAAACACTGTAATGTTAAAAATAACAGTATAAAATATTAAAATGTATGTTTTAGATATAAGGTTTAAAAAAATATAAATATACAAAACAAGCTTTCTTTGCTAATATTAACTTATTATAAATGTAGTTTAATTTCACCAACCCACAGATTCCTTGTCCTGTTCCATCCAGGTTCTGAAACTTAAAATATTAACTCAAAAGTTGTTTTTTTTTTTACTTTGAACTAAACTCAAAAGTTTAACCCTTGCTGAAAGCTAAAATATATTAACCCTACTATAACATTTAGAGTATTGAGATTACATATTATACATGTTATATATTGTTAAAATATATTTTTTTAAATAATTTTACTGAAATTAGGTTGCCAGATGGAACAGGGCGAATACAATTGGTAAAATATTTTAAATCTCTTTAAAGAAACAATCGAAAACCAAATTTTCAACCCAACAAAATTTAAATATAATTACAATATAAATAATCAAATCAATCGATAAAGAATCACACTCTTCAAACTCAGTCCTTAAAGATGGATGGAATTTGTTACAATAAGATAGATAATACTTTGAAGTTGCCAACATAATTTCTTTTTGTACTATATATATAACAATTATCTAGCGTCTCAACAATTATTTCCTATTTGGTTATTATCACCAAGCTCGTATAACCAATAGAACTGCTATGATATGTCATTATTTCATAATATATCGAGATTTTATTAATTTACGATTTAGTGTCAAGCTCGTTAATTTTAAGCTGAGCCACTGGAAATAATATATTTCAAGGCACATATTACAAGCCCTTTAATATTTTAAACTCTATCTTTCAATTAAATTTTATTTAGCGTCTGATCTATTGTAATAGGAAAATAAGCTATTTGTTGGCGGGAATAAGATTTGATTGATATGTCAGATCCAGTCATTTATAATTTAAGTATCTTAATCTAAACAGCGACGTTGAGAATTCTTTAAAAAAAATTTCAATACATTTTATATTTTACCCTTGTGCAGTTTTTAAGTGCAAATTAAATCAATTGCAGTGCTTTTTCAGCAATTATTCTACGTTTAAGTAAAAATCTATAATCTCTAGTTATAAATATTTGATTACACTGTTAACATTATTGTACCACTAGGTTTGGCATGGAATTAAAAAAGAAAAAAAAAATTAACTCTTATATGACATCGCCCCCAATTCTTAAATAAAACCATTGTGATGGTCTTGTGGTGGATACATTTCCATCACCAAATTACGTTTCTCCTCCCTCGTGTCCCATGACTTTCTTGCATCCTGGAAAAAGATAAATATGATTCTTTGAAAACAAAATATTGAAAAACTGGCGTGTTAAAATAAATGCTTGTCCATCTCCTCTAGTATTGGAAAGTGTTGTGTAACCTGAAGAGAGGAGAGGAAAGCCAGGGAAAAGAAAGCAGCCAAGTCAGGGCCAATGTTGATCATACATATACACAAAAACGCTAACTTAAAAATGAAAAAGAAATAAAAAATAGANTGTTTAAATTGGCTTACATTAACATATGTAATTAATATAACGGTAAAAATATATGTTGTTTGAAATAAACAACAAAATACGTCCGGTGTCCGGTTTTTTGTCTTTGAATTTATACAGTACATAAAAAGATTAGAAAATGAAAGAGAGAGAGGGAGAGAGAGAGAGAGAGAGAGAGAGAGAGAGAGAATAGCGGAGGTGTGGAACGCTGCGCACAAATAAAATAGAAGATGACAACGACAGCACACATGTTGGGTCTGTCAGTCTGAAGAGACGGATTGGAAAAAGGCAATGGAATTTCACTGGATTTGTCTCCTCATGTGCAGCTGAGGTCTCCTGGGTCGAGCAATCAGGATGAGCCCCGGAAGAGGAATTGAGACTGTCATGCGGAGGAAGATTTTTCCATTTCTGGGGCAAATAGTTCAGAAAGCCTGAGGCAATAGAAGGGAAGAGGACGTAGGTCTGCTGGGTTTTCCTCTTTATGGGCAGCATTCTCATCCTGCAGCGAGGAATCAGCATAGATACCTGGAAGAGGATTGGGAACTGCAAAAGGAGCAAGGAAGAAGGCCCTTCAGAAAAACCACCGAGAACTGGCAGCTGCAGCCACCAGGAAATAAATGTTGTGTGTTCGATTTAGATGAAGCTTTGTACACTTTTTTTTAGTTCATAAACAGTGCAAATTTATGCTAGTTTTGTTTATTGTGGTCATTTTGATGGTTCACTACAATTTTTAGTTTTATTTAATCTTAAGCTAGCTGTTAAGATGATATGATAATTTTGCTGATTTTGTATTTTCATTTTTTAATAAAGCTATTCATTTTTGTTGTATAATTCGGGACTATTTTACATTATTTTAATTTTTTTATTGAATACAACCAACCCTCTGTTTGGTCTTCAGGGGTTTCAGGGTAAGTTGATATTGGTTTTGGCTTTCCTTTCTTCTCCTGTACTAGAGGGTTTTATTATTATTATTTTTTATTATTATCCATTTTTGTCCCTTTATCTTTGTTTTTGTTGTCCTATTTGTTAAAAATAGAACAACTGATGCCCAACCTTTTTTTTATTTATGTTTTACAGATATTTATTTATTATTAAAAAAAATTTAAAATTCCACTCCCTCTCCACTGAGCATATTTTTATTGGCAATTCTGAGCCATAACACTGGATACGCACTTTGTAAAGTGTGATGGCAGCAAGTGTGTGAAACACAAAGGAAACGCCACAGAAGTAGTAGGACCAAGACAAATGGTTGAAATTCGGATACATGAGCCAATCCCTTCTAGAAGACTGGGTCCAGAAGATTATCACCGTCAAAAATAACCAAACAGCTGGAAAAATATACCATTAAAATAAAGCTTCAAATGTGTTAAATTGTCGATATGCATATGGCCTGTATACTGCACATTTTTTCAAGTTACCAAAATTGCACTCACCGCTTATTGCATTACACATAAAAACGATCCCTGTTAGAAGCCACTCATATTTCAGTATAAATTTTAACGGGTATCTTGTGACGACCAAGGCTATTATTAACAAAGAACTGAACGATGCGATAAAAGCCAGAGTGACAAAAGTTTGAATCACCATAAGCCATCCTGTAAATCAGGTTGGTGTTAAAATTAATTAGATGATTATGATCAATTATTAATTGGATGATTACCTGGAACAAGCCATTCTCTAATGATGTAAAATTCAAAGCTGTAAATATAATGGCATCCAGAAAAGATCTTGTTGAAAGGATAATAAGGAAATCGGAACCGTTCAAAGCAATATTCCCACAAGCCCATATGCTTGAAGTTGCTGAATGTACCATCGTAAGACTCTACCCAGTAGGGGCTGTGAATCATGAAAGATTAAAATCATAAAACCAAAATTTCAACAAAAAAACTTACCTCGCAAATGAGATGAGTAGAAGCATACCAGCGATGTACGCCAGTATGCCTCCAAACACCATTGCATCTGAAAAACAAAAAGTCTGTTGAAACTAAATCAAACAAAATGGATAAAAACTTAATTAATGAGACAGAAGAATTGGAAATATTTGTAAATAAGGAAAAAGTGTAATGGATGGATCAGTGTTTTTTATTTGTACTAGGAACATAAGCCTAATCAGAATATTTATTAGATAACTTTTTATAGGTCAATGATGCTGAATTATCTTCAATGAAAGAAAAGTAGAATTTATAAGCAACGGCTTGAGGATTGTGGTTTTAAATGATGACATGGGGACTGTGGTGGCCGAGTAGCTAGGGTGTCCAACTTCTATTTGCCACGTTAGCAGTTCTGTTTGAATCCTGATATAGCCATTGGAATTTTATTTGAGATTAAAAGTAAAGTGGTTCTGATCCCTAATACATGACTAAAAGCGGATGTTAGACATTAAACCGTCCTGTATGACAGAAAATATTTTACTTTTAGAACCTTAACATTCTGCCAAAATGTGTGGTGATTAGTGACCGTTAATCGATATTTATTTAGAAATCGTGAGTTGCGGTCTGGTGTGATGTAATCCACATCCAAAATGTAATTGTAATATGTAAACAATGTTTGTAAATCCCAGGCCCTGAAGATGATCTCAATAAAGATTGAAACGTTGTCATGATAAAGAAAATGTTTTTCTAAAACCTACATCACACCAGACCGCATCTCACGATTTCTAAATAAATAAATTCTGTCAAAATTAAGAATCATCAGATGGCAAATTTTAAACATGAGAAAAGTAGATATTTATACACAAGTAAATTTATAATAATTTAAAAAGGAATATATCATACATGCAAGAGTGAAGGTGGCAAACGCCAAAATTCATCTGACAGACCAAACCAGCAAAGATAGGCAGGCCAATATGATTGGAAAGTACCAAGCAGCTTGTTAAACTGATCATTTTTCACAGCCCTTGCTTGAAAAATGACTTGTGAAAAAAAAATGCCCAGGTATGCGGCAAGCTAAGAGATTTATAAATCTCTCAAAAAGAAGATGAAAGAACTGTCTCTCAGCAGGCAGGATATGAGTAAAATTATAGGCAACTATACCATCCACTACCCTCTTAACTACTACCTAAAGAAATTGGCAAAGCAGAGAGGAGGAATCATAGAAATTGGCATATATGCTTTGTAAATGTGAATAATTAACCCCCGGTTAAACTACAGCCACTTTGGTGAGGCAATTTTCACACGAAAAGAGGTGTGCAAAAAGACACTGAGGAAAGTGCTTAAGCTTATAGGAAAAAGTGCACTTTCCAAGGATTATCATTTATAGGGATTCCACTACAGATTGCAGTACCTAAAAAACAATAGTTTTGCAGTGAACGTGTCAAACTGACAAATTTTCACAGTCTTTCTATTCTTGCTGGTGAACCTAATGATGTGGTCGGTGTCAATCATTTCAAATGTTCATACACTTTTAGGCTTAGTACACATGGGGCGTTGAATTGTGCATAAACGGGATTGTAGCAAACACATGGAATGCTTGGAAAAGAGCAATTTTACGATGAAAGTGGAGAAGTCATTTGTCTGTGGTATTATTTTCTCTATCGCTGCTATAAACTAAGAAGAAAAAAAAGAAGTATTGGGTCCATCCTATTTTAAGAGATAGATTCATAAATAGTATGTTTGTTACTCTCTGCCCCAAAATTACGTGTTTATGAACCAAAATTTTTCAATCATTATAGAATATCAACTAACTCTGAACGATTTTCAGCAATTGATTAAGGGCGATATTTAATCAAGACCTCAGTGTGAAAGGGGGGCATAACTGCTGCAGAACAAGAGTGCATCAACTTTTAAAATTACATGGGAAAACAAGCTACAAGCTCCAGACATTAGACAAGTTTACAAAAAGATGTAGAACTTCTGTATCATCTTCAACGCTGACCTGCTCGACAGTAAAACCACCTCTAAATCACCGGAGTGTGAAGAATGTGTGGTTGATGAGATACAGTAATTTCTGATGGTTGACAGGTATGAAGGAGCTGTAATAAATATGAAAATATAAATGCATGTCTTTCAGGTGCATATATGTTTAAATGCAGGTTTTTTTTTCAATTTTGTCGATCAGGAGATCGTTGTGAACAAGGTATGTTTCCGTCATGATGATGGAAAAAGAAGAATATTCTCTGGTAAAACACATGTTGATCTGAACACACCGATTAGTTTCTCTGAATCTTCAGTTAAACTCGCATAGTGAGGGGAATCTTGAGTTGCGCATTGGGCTTAATGTGCTCTACTTTAAACTTCAGTATTTTAGTAACGTGCGTTCGTAAACGTGCTTTAAAAAATGCTTCGTATGTACTAGGCTTTAGAACAACCAACACGCCAATATTAACACTAACAAAGGTAGCAGTACTGTTCAGAAAGTCTTCAAGTTCCTTTAAAGAAGTGGTCCATGGTATGGACATTGGGCTGATCCAGACAAGATATCGTTTCGTCATAGTAGACAAGTAGACGGTTAATCGTTAATGACCCCACCCAGAATTAAAAATACAAAATTCTCAGAAATATAAAGAAGCCCAATGCCTGATGAAGGATCCTCGCTTTGCTTACATCCTGAGTCCATCTGACTGGTTTTTTTAAGTCAAATAATTTTATATTTTTACAAATAAAATTTATTAATATAAGTTTTTAGTAGGTCCAATGAACTAAAGTACCTACTTTAAATATGCAAAATATAGTTGGGTTGAAAAATTAGTGTCACAAGCAGTACGCAAACCTACAACCTCCAGGGTACTGATCCGTACTCGTGACACTAATTTTCCAATTCAACCAAACTTTCCATAATAAAATTTATTTATTATTGATTTTTTTTAACAAAACAAAATAAAACAACCTAATAAAAATATGAAAGTTCACTGAGTACAAGATTAGTCAAATACTAAAGTTGAAAAAAAAAATAAAAACGTACGCCCTCGAAATTGGATGATAAAATGAGACAAAATTGAAAATAATATTATTAAATGTGTTACCGGAAGCCCGAGGGAAGTCTTTGCCGTTGGTGCTCGTCATATTTATTAAACCGTTCCGCCTTGTTTAGAGAATTGGAACCTGAAACGGCTGTCGGAGAAATTCAGACCATCACTGTTCGATCCGTTGGTCAAAACCGTCCAGGCCTTCTAAGTTCGAACAGTCCACAAAAATTTGTGGACGCAGGTCACTGTAGGTGAAAATCTTTTGAAAGCTGTAGCCGTTTGTTTTGGCCTACGCCCAACAAAGCCAGACCAGACGTCAAAACAAGCTGGGGTCTTCTTGCCGCAGATGGCGATACCTGCTGCAGCGAAGACGTCACCATTCGTAGAAAGACCGTCCAAAAATTAAAAGCCATGATTTTTAAAAAATTATTTATTTACTTATTCACCAATTATTGACTTTTTATAATGAGTGCAGATCATCTAATGGCATATTACAATAATGCGATACAAATCAAATAAAATTTAAAACAACAATAATCCATATTTGCATAGTGGTCATTGACCATAATAACTAATATATATATACGTTCAATGAAACAAATACATTTAATACATAAGTATAAGGTATTATAAATACATTTATTTATTTTACAGGCAAAGCCTTTTAAAATTATACAATAGTTACAAATATATTAGGAGGGCTAATATAGAGATTCATTGCAAAAAATAAATAATTATTTAAAGAAACAACTGAATTATAATTATAATACAATAACAAATAATAAATAATTGGAAGTATGAATTATTAAATAAAACATAGCTGTAAATATATGCAGTTAACATAATTGATAGAATATAAAACAAAACAACTGAAAAAGATAATTATTAGTTATTTCAATTATTCTTTTTATGTAAGGTCTTGGTTGAGATGGAAAAGTTAGTGTCACGAACGGGATTCGAACCCACGACCTTTGGCTCAATACGCTGCTGCTCTAACCACTTGAGCTATCGTGACAAGTGGTAGAGCAGCGGTGTGTTTAGTGGATGGACACCAACTCCCCATCTCAACCTACAACCTTTTGAATTTTCCCAATTTTTGTCATTTTTCAAACGTCGTGTAGTCAGGATTTGATTCTCAGCAATTTATGAAATGGCCACGTTGAGCTGTTAGTGAAGTAATTAGGAATAAAGGAGAGAAGACAGGACTACAAGAGTGAACAAGGGCCAATTAGTTTAACGTGCTCCCTGATTTACCAGCAAACTTGTAAAATCTTAAAGAAAAAATTAAACAACACTTATAACTGAAATTTTATTTGTTTGTACATGTTTTATAACATAATTTTCATAACAAAAAAAAAAAAACATACATTGCTTAACAAAATATATATCAATAAAGGAGCAAAAGTGAATGTGTTCAGCCTTCTACTGAATCAACTCGATGCTTGTTTAAATGGGCAAAATATTGACATTTGTATTTCTCACTAATTTTTTTTTATATTTTCTTTGTTTTAGAAGTAATGCAATCCAGATTGTTCAAGGGTAATAAAAATCCTTGTAACAGCGTACATATAGGCTGCTGTTCTCAAATCAGTACCTAGGTTGTACCGTTTGGCAAATTTTAGAAGTTGCTAAAAAAACAAATTAGTTGTAGTAAGTAGTTTTTTTATATAAACAGATAGTGGCTTACATCGCCGGCTTCATTCATCGAGGACTGCAAGCTTGATTGGATGATGTGTTTTTCTGAAGCTTCAATAAGGCGTTGCCTGTATTTAGGACTTGGCCCAACCATAATTTCTTTTCCAAGACCAGTTTTTAATGAATGAGCTATTGAATCTGAGAAAATAAAAATTAAATTAATTTTAAAGTACTAGTGTGATGATTATTATCACAGCTAAAGTATTTGCAACCCCATTGCTACACAGGAAGTCTTCCTGAATAATATCCATTCATGGCGAGGCTAGACCCACAATGCTCTGACAGCCTACTTGCATAAAATGGAGCAATTAAAACTTCAGGATGGACAAAGTTCTAGGGGGTGCTTGTTGATGCCAAAATCCCAAAATTCAGTTTTGATAAGAAATTGCAAACCAAATATCTAATAGAGCTTATTAGGAGAAAGCAATCCCAGTTAATGCCAATTAGGAATACAGATAGTTCTGAGACCAAGCCAATTATGTATGGAAATACCAAGGACTAGAATTCATATAAGGTTTTGATGATATACCAAGTCCATTAGGCAGAGACTGGCTGAACATTGTGCTAGGGTGATCAAAATTGGTATTTTCAACAAGATAAAGCCACCAACTTGGTCAGCTTGGGGGCACTAATAGCAACTACCTCATCAATAATAAAGTCCAGAGCCATTTGGAATTGCATCTAGGCCCTGGCACAGGTCAGACATTAAGAATTCATGGGAGAGGAACAACTAGAAGACCAATAAATTAGCCAAGAGAAATTCGATCTAGAAAACTATCAGCCCAGAACCATTTTGTGGTATACCAAATTTAAAAAAAAAAAAAAAAAAAAAAAAATAAGGGATTAGGACTGGAATGATATTATGATTGCTGACTCAAAACTGTAGACTCAGAGCAGTAGAAGCAATCCTGTGTGAATATTGCCAGGAAGAAGAAGAGGAGAATACATCTGTAGGTGTGCAGGTCTATGAAGGCCAGATTCCTACTTCTCAGAGAGGGGTAGTCCAGGCATAATGTGTAGTAAGTATAACAAACGGGAGCTTTTAACAAAAGCTTTGGGATCCCATAAAAATTCTTAAGCTAATGAAGAGCACTAGACAATAATGGTAATTGCATAATAGACCAGAGCAAGGTTGTAAAAGAGGTCTTTTATACTTAACCTTAAAATTTTCGACAGAATTGATTGATTGATGTGAACTATTTAAATAAATTTACATTATTATATGTTTGAAAAAAGTTTTTGTTACCAAATAACATTTCTGTATTTTCTCTGTCATAGCCAAACTGCAGTCGACCCCAGGATACATGATTGATGTTTTTCAGCCATTCAAAGTAGGAAACCAAGACACCACCGGCATTGGCATAAATGTCTGGAATTATCAATATCTTTTTCTGGTGGAGTATTTCATCTGCTGCTGGTGTCGTTGGCCCATTTGCACCTTCTACAATAACCTTTGTAACAAAATGAAAATACAGATCAATGTGTTATTTAGAAATGTGTGGTGATTAGTGACCGTTAATGGTAATTATTCAGAAATCGTGAGATGCAGTCTGGTGTAATGTAGATTTCAAAAAAACATTTTCTTTATCGTGCCAACGTTTCTATCTTTATTGAGATCATCTTCAGGGTCTGGGATTTACAAACATTGTTTACATTTAACAAATACAGGCAGGATGTGGAAAAAAGTGAATTTATACAATGCAAAATATATTTTTTATATTCAATCAAAGTATTTCTACTCTCAATAAAGATCGAAACGTTGGCACGATAAAGAAAATGTTTTTCTGAAACCCACATCACACCAGACCGCATCTCATGATTTCTGAATAATTAGTGTTATTACTTTAGCCTTGATTTTATCAGCATTGCTTTTGGTGATGACTTTTTCGACAGCACATGGTATAAATATGTCACATTCTTCGAACATAAGATTCTCCTTTGGTGTGTACTCTTTCGCATTTGGGAAGCCCTTTAATGTTTTATGTTCCTTGAGATAGTTGGCTACGTCCTGAAATATTATATGTTTCACATTCTTGTTAAACATATAACAACTTTATATTTTACTTTGACAGAAATTCCGTTTTTGTTGTGTAATGAAATGTCATATTCCATGATTCCGATCAATTTGGCACCTCCTTTCTCAAAGTACCTTGCACTATGGAAGCCTACATTTCCAAACCCCTAAGATACAAAATGTTCCTTACTGTCTTAAACCAAATGCGCTAGTATTCAACAATTCACTAAACCTGTACTATAAACGTCTTTCCTTTAATTCCTGGCAGGCTATTGGTTGTTTTCATGAATTCCTCATCAGACATAATTTTTGCTGCAGCATTCCACACTCCTCTCCCGGTAGCAGTCCTCCGTCCCATTATTCCACCCAATAAAATAGGTTTTCCTGTGACTACGCTTGAACTGTCGATGTCAACTTGGCCTACAAATTATATGAAATAGGCCTGTGTGAAGAATTTTGATGTTAGAAAAGTTTCACCTAATGTCTTGACATAAGTATCCATGAACCAAGCCATGACTCTAGCGTCTGTATTGACATCAGGAGCTGGAACGTCTATTGCTGGCCCTAGACAATTTAATTAAATAAACAATTCAATTTAAAATGACAATTTCTGAATAAGAATACAAACCGACGTAATTTTTTTTAATTAATTCCAAGGCGTATCGCCTGGTGATTTTTTCTATCTCACGATCTGTGAATATTTTGGGATTAATTTTGACTCCACCTTTTGCACCTCCAAAAGGTATTCTTAAAACTGAACACTTGAAGGACATAAGAGCTGCTAAAGCTTTGATTTCATCTTCTTCAACATCAAGAGAATACCTGATCCCTATATGAAAGTAAATCTTTAGCGGCTTGTTTACTAACCTGTTTTACAGCGAAAGAAAAAAAAATTACCCCCTTTCATCGGCAGTTTGTGTGAAAGATGATGCACTCTATAGCCGTCTACCATCACAAAATCCCCATTGTTGAGTTTAATAGGGAATGTGACATGTATAATAGCCTCGCAACTGGCGATTCGTTGAAGCAATGCATGTATTCTTTTACAGCGTTCCTCATGGTTCAGAGATTCTGTCGCTTGGCACATGCTTTCTTCTAATGAATCAGCAAGGTAGTAAACTGCCTTGTGAAAATTGTACTTTACAATCTACAACCGATTGAATATACTGATTATAAAAAACTAAAATTAAATATAACACTTCACAAAGCACATGCACAATAATATAGATACAATCCCACTTCTGAAAAAAAGAAATTACCTTATAAAAATCTGGATCTTCTTGTGTTTTGATAGCCAACATGTCATTTGGTATGTCATAAAGAGAATTTGAACCTGGACCAGCGCATGTCCCTCCTTCTCGTACGCACAAATTCCGAAGATATTTTGGTGAATACAGGTGTGCCATTTTCGGTGTTGATGTAGAACTTGCCAAGAAATTTAGTTCTTTTTTGAAAAGGGCTTTTAAACAAACTCTCCCTAGGGAACACTGCATGGTGGAAGTCGTCGCTTGTTTACTACGTCTATAAAATAAGATCTTTGCCCTTTATCTTTCTTTCTTTGAAATGCAACTAACAATAAAGAGTTAAGAACAGATGTACATTTAACTTTACCAGATGATTCATTAAAATGTTAAATTTTAAAAATGATTCATTTTGTAGCTGTATTTTTTAATTCAAGCAGTTACATTAATGATTCTGTTTAGTTATTATTATAAATATAATAATATAATATAAAAAAATTAAGATAGTGAAATCAGTATTTAAACTACACTAGCCAAGATTTTGAGAATTTTTCACTATCTAGAAATATTTAGTATTAGTTATTAATTCATATGATTACTTTTTATTATATAGTATCTTCTAATACTCTGCTAGATAATGTAACAGTACAAAATATATGTGCTCAATAACAATTGCCTACTGTATATAAATGTCTAAATATTAAACAGGGAATTAACAGAGTATACTTGATCTGGATTAAATGCACAATGTGCATTATTGTTATGCATTTGTGGTTTTTGTTCATTTTTCCTTTGTTACTAACAATGTTCTTATTGAACCCGCACTAGCCATAAATTTATGGCAACAAGTTCTAGAACTTTATACTGCGATATTTCAAGATTTCTTTATAAACGTCTGCAGAGTGATTAATTCATAGTTTGGTCGTTTTCCATTATTTTGGTCCCTCTGGTTTGATCTGTCAAATAAGTTTATGCTGGCCCAGACTTAAAAACTCAAAATTATTCATTATGATTAAGATCACTGTGATATTAATTTATAACTTCGTCTTTATAAAATAGAAATTTTGTTTAAAAAAAAAGTTAGAAAAGCTTAAATTGAAGTGTTTAATGAAATTGGAATGATGTTTGTTCGAATAGTTTGTAAACTTTTTACTGCAAGTTGTATGATTACATAACAAAACGTATACTAATATATTTTTATTTATTCAGGCTCTTTTCATAAGTATGTATCCTTGTCTATTGCTTTATTCTAGGTTTTACATAGAAATGTGTGGTGATTAACACTTTGCGTGAGTAGAAATACTTTGATTGAATAAAAAAAAAATTTTTTTTTGCATTGTATAAATTCACTTTTTCCACATCCTACATGTATTTGTTAAATTTAAATAACGTTTGTAAATCCCAGGCCCTGAAGATGATCTCAATAAAGATCGAAAAGAACAATAAAGAAAATTCACTAATTTCGTGGTTTGCTTGACCAATTAATATATTACACTTAATTAAGGTTTTTAGTTGAGATAAAAAAAGTCTTTTAGTGGATCGAGGTCACGATAGCTCAAGTGGTAGAGCAGCGGCGTATCTAGCCGAAGATCGTGGGTTCGAATCCTGCTTGTGCCATTGACTTTTTATCTAAACTAAAAACCTTAATTGTTTTAAAGAAAATGTTTTTCTGAAACCTACATCACACCAGACCACATCTCACGATATTTGAATAATCGTTTTACATAGATGTGAAGCCTCATTTGTGCCCAGGAGTTCCAAACCTGAATAATTTTTCAAATCCACTATCATATTAATGAAATTATTCTGTCATTAAGACCAACAGGTTGCTTGAGAGAAATTGATCCAGGAACAAACAATTGTCACTTGTGAGCGAGTCTCTGTGATGGGCTGTAGTAGCCTTCACATTTTCAACAATATGCACGGTAGTGAGTACCATTTAAAAAAATTTACATGTACCAAATGAAAGTATTTGTAAATAAATTTAATCAATAATATAATTATTAAACATTTTGTTGCACTTGTTGCAATAGAAATCCATCAAATGATGAAAATACACTATTTTCCCTATATTTTAAATTGGTAAAACACAATATAAAAATATGAGGTATTGAACGAAGAGAACCATGCTGCTTTTCAGACTGTGTTTTTTTTTTTAATTAACCTTACAACTTTAGTTTTAAAACTCACTGCAGAATTGTGCTGTTCATAGAGAAGCAAAAGAAATTTTAATAACATCTGTAACAATTGGCACATCTGGTTTGTTTTTATTTTAGACAAAAAATATTCAATCTGTGCTCAGATGAAACATACATTAATATAATTAACAAGACTGGACTTGAGGTGAGTTCATGCTTCAGCTTCCCCTGATTTCATACAGAACAATTTAACGATGTTTTTAAGAGGCAACAACATTTTGGTATAACAGAATAGAAAAATGTAATAATTATCATAAAAAACACAAATTAACAGTTTTACAATAAATATATACAAAATAATTAAATATATAATATGTGCAATATATTATTTATTGTTAATATGTTTAAAATATAGATTTACAAAAGATATTAAATAAATTAAAAATTTTACAACAGAAAATTTACATCCGTAATTGTTTGCATCAGTGAAAAATTGTATTTCTTAAGAAAATTATAATTTCATGTATTTTGACCCACTTTTCACTAGACATTCAAACCCAAATTCAGGATTATCCCTAATCCATTGTTTACCCTGTCCCCTCTTTCCTTTTATTTTGCTGTCGTGCTTGCATCCTTCTCTCCTCCGAAATGCATCAAAATATATTACAATTATTTTACTTTCTCAATTTTTTGTGGATGCTTCCGTTAAATTTAAATTTAATTTCACCTTAAAAAAAGCTAATTATTTTATTCAAGTCTCTAAAACGATTCAGAAAACCACCGCAAACTCGCTTTTATCTATTTCATCTAAATTTATTTCTGGCTGTTTGGAAAATTAGAATTAGGCTGAGAAATCTGCGGACTCATCGAGGTAATTTAGTTTAATATTTTTATTCTTTATATTTTTGCTTTTATTTCAAATCTTTGTGTAACAAGCATATGAACACAACAATTTATTATATTTTGTAAGTTAAGTACCTAAAACTAATAATAATCCATTTAATAATGAATAGATTTATTTAATGCATTAAAAAAGAAATTCTAATCTATTAGGTAAACATTTTTTGATTTAAACACGGAGAAAACAAAACATATAACATAATTAATCTTTAATTAAGGTTTTGGTTGAGATAAAAAAGTCAGTGTCACAAGTGGGATTCGAACCCACAACCTTCGGCTAAATACGCCGCTGCTCTACCACTTGAGCTATTGTGACTTCGATCCACTCGGGCACTAACTTCCCATGTCAACCCCACCTTCTGAATTTTCACTCCTTTTTGCCATTTTTTTTTTATCCCAACCAAAACCTTAATTAAATATTAATTAATTGAAAAGAATTTATTTGGTCAAGTTGACCATAAAACCTAATAAATATAACATAATCATATAAATTAATTTATAATTTTTATGTAAAATTTGGTTGAGACCTCTGCTCACAAAATTTGATTACATGACAAAAAGAGAGAAATTTGAAAAAAAAATTTGTAAGTTGAGGTGGTGAGTTGGTGTTCTGGGGGTCTGAAGTCACGACATCTCAAGTGGTTAGAGCAGCGGTGTATTGAGCCAAAGGTCGTGGGTTCGAGTCCTGCTCGTGGTGCTAATTTTTCATCTCAACCACACTTTACATAAACATTATAAATCAATTTAAATCATTATTTTGTTTAAACAAGACCGACTAAATCATATGGATTCATATAGTAATTATAATGGATAATTTTAATATATGTTCTTGTCAACTTTTGGCGCTTGTGAATTCTGCCCTGCTATGGAGACATAACATACATACTGTTTTGACCGTTTGAGAAATTGAGCTTTAAAGTTTTTAAGCTGAAGCCTCAGTTGAGAAGCCATATTTTTTGAAGTTTTTGGCTGAGGACAACTTCATTTTTTTATAATCCTGAAAGCTTTTTTTAAAATTATAATTTATTACTTATTTATAATCACTCTTATTGTATGTGTTTTTTATTAATAAAAAAAGTTATTACTTTAATTTAACTAGCAAAGATTTGTGATAATTACTTATGAAAACGAAAGTATCTGAAAAGAAAATGACTTTTAGAAACAGACGTTATTTTTTTAATATAATTTCTTTTCTAGTGTACTTATCGCATAATAAATCACATTTTTAAATTAATACCACAGAATTTCCATTTCTTTTGCTCAATGTATCCTCTCTAATTAATTCGTTTTACGCTGGAAACGAGTTTTTGTGGCGTAAATCAAGTGGAAAATAATATAAGTTCATTTATTTTTTGCTAAGGCACGGTAAAATTTAATTTTATAAAATTTTTTACTAGTATTTTATCCAAAAAATTTTAAACTATATACAATACGTCGATATTTTAAAGTGATATTTTTAAAATTTCTGGACGATTTTATCGTGTTTTTGAATAGGAAACTACTTAGGAATACAATGAAAAAAAAATACAAAAATAAAAATAAAAAACAAATGGAGATTGTTCTTAATAAATCCATTATATTTAGTGGTCTATTGACCAAATTACTTCTTTCAATTAATTAATCTTTTTATGTAAGGTTTTTGGTTGGAATGAAAAAGCTAGTGCCACGAGCAGGATTCGAACCCACGACCTTTGGCTAAATACGCCGCTGTTCTACCACGAGCTATCGTTCTTAATAAGGCAGAACTCGTTTTTAAATCATCTATTTCAATCGTCGCCAGTCGAACTAGACGTTCCTGAGACATGGTTCTAAAATATATTTTTTAAAACTATTTGTAGTTTTTCTCCACTTGTCACAAAAACGTGTAGCGTTAGTAAAATTCTTAAAGTAACAACTAAATTTCCAAATAATCCTTCCAATCCACTTTGAAAAACGAAACGTTTATTCTGACCCTAAAATGTGGTAGTACGTGTTGAAGGTTAACCATTAATGTCTTGTTTTTCTTGAAACGAAAGAATTTTCTCAAGGTTGGTGAGACATGGGCGTAATTCTTCAACCGATATGCTATTTTTATTTTTTAAATTAAGCAACAAGCTAAAATTTTGATTATGTGATTTTATTTGTATAAATTTTGTTTCCAAAGAATTTAATGTTGAATCTAACATTTCAAAATAAAATTGAATTTCAAATCGGTCTTTGTTGCTTGATTTTCTTTCTTTCCCTTTATGATGTTGAAAAATATTTTTGGCCCTGCGTTTTCTTGTGCTAGTATGTATTGAACTCTACTGGAAGTTTAATTTTTGTGCAAGTCATACAGACAAAATCATTGAATTTATTTTCGTTTCTCAACCCTTTCAAAAGTTTCGTCAATGATTGCAAGATTTCTATCTAATTGAAGCGTTTTACTTACTACATAAAAAAATAAAACTATGATGAATGCAAAATCAAAACATTGACTTCAAATATCACCTCGTCAAATTCTTCATTTTCATTAGTGCCCAACAAGGCTGCCCCAATGACTTAACGGTCCTAGGGCATCTACTCTCACCGTCAAGTTTTATGGTCAACTTGTGCATTGTTCAAACCGTGTTTTTTGACATTAACTACTAAATTTAATGAGTTCGGATCACAGGGTAAAAAAGAAATGCCCTTGTATTTTAATCCGCATCATTTTGGACTCCTTTCATATTTAAGCCGTAATCCTAGGCCGCGAAAATAATCGACAATTAATAATAGTTTTGGTAAATTTTCATTAAGTTACTCACAACCCTCCCAGGAAACTTAAAAAAATTAGTTAACTCGAATATGTAAAAATAACAGCGTACAATAATTAATAGGTACACAGGGTGACTTTTTTGACGACTAAGTTAAAGGTTGACTCCTCTTTACTCTGAAGTCCTATGCAAAGGTTGGCCAAGGTGTCCCATCGCCAGAAAAGCTCGAAGGCCCAGGTAATAACTGTCGTTTAAATTTAAAATTAATTAATCTGTATTGTTTGGTGTGTGAATAAAATGAGTTAACCTAAAATCATTTGGTCCAAAGAAAAAAATTTATCGTTAGATGTTTTTTTGTGTTATAAATATGTGCAATTAGCGTAAATATACTGAAAATTCTGTTAAATTATGATTTGGATATTTATATAATTAGAGTGCATTATGACAATAGATATAATAAAATCAACTTGTTCAAGACGGTCTAATGAGGCCTTTCAACCAAATGATTTGCTTTCATTTCTCATGTTATCCTGGTAACTGTTAACTTAATAATATCCTCGGTTAAAATAATAATAATAAACTTGGAGCAATGATTAAAAATTAAAGCCGTATTGATAAACGTATGAATGTGATTAAGAAATTCATTGTAGATGGGGTCTATAAATGGATAATGCGACGAAATAATCCAAGCCGAGTTGATGAAGGTTTAATAAACTTAATAATAAAAAAATATCGGCAGTAAGTATACGTTGATCCGTCTATGTTGAGATATTTCTCGTCTATGAGATCATTTTCATATATAATTTGATTTATTTATTGTTAAGTGGTGTGACGTTAGAAATATTTTTTCTTTGACGTTTTAACATAAACGTAAACGAAATTCTTCAACCCGCCGTTGATCTATTGAAAAATACTGATATTGTATAAACACTTTATATAAATATTCGATTATAATAACAAAAATCGGTTGATAAAGGAAAATAAAGAAAAACTGATGAGGCCAAATTGCACGAAGCAAGTCGAGTCACTGGAAGATTCTCGAGTGAATAAAGCTTTCTCATATGTAAGAACGAATAGTATAATTGAATATTGGACGCATTTGCGTGATAAAAAAGTGTTTATCTTCTTGCAATCCAAAAACGGAATTGTTTTAAAATGTGTCAGAAATATAAATAAAATTCCTGGACATACATAGTACAACTAGACGCGCTCGAGCGCACCCGACAGCCCCAAAATAATGGTAAAATTAAATATACAGGAATACTTGGAGTCTGTGTTTTTCCAATGATTCGATTCTAGAGGCGTTATAGTTGAACTCGAATTGATGAGCTTCTTTTTTAATATAATTAGAAATGAGTTATGTTTAAAAAACAGATCATTGTCGCGTTAATATTGGATCTAGCCTTTGGAGAAATCGTTATATTCATATCAAATTGTTGCTGTTTTGTAATGAATCTTTCCCAGGACGAAATACCAGTTTTACTCTAGCAAATTGAATATTTAAAATTACATAAAATTAATGGACTATATTTTTAATTAAACGTTGAAAAGAAAAAAGAAACACTAATGTGGATGACAGAGCGAAGATCGGGCTTGAGAGCGGTGGTGTTTTCGTTAGGGTTCGGCCTCGTTCTATGTATAGCATCCCCTCTCTAATTCGGGCATCAGTTACTCTATAGCGAGATGACGGAGACTACCTCTTCACCAGCGGCAGCCACTTCGGCCGAGGCCCCGAAGAAGGGTAAGAAGGCAGCAGGCAAAAAGGCGCAGAAATCTGGCTCTGCGAAGAAGGCGTCGGTTCACCCACCGACTTCGCAGATGGTCGACGAGGCGATCAAGAATCTCAACGAACGCGGCGGATCGTCTCTCCAAGCCATCAAGAAGTATGTTTTGGCCAACTACAAATTGGACTCTGTGAAAGCGGTCTTTATTAGGAAATACCTGAAGAACGCTGTCACTTCGGGACACCTTGTTCGGACCAAAGGGACTGGTGCAAACGGTTCTTTCAAGTTTCCCAGCAAGGACAAGCCGGCGAGAAAACCTTCGGTGAAGAAAGCCGCTTCAACGAAGAAAACAACCCCTGCGAAGAAGAAAACGGCTACTACACCGAAGAAAAAAGTGGCACCGAAGAAACCCAAAGTAGCAAAAGCAAAGTCCCCGGTTAAACCTAAATCGAAGCCTACTCCGAAAAAGCTGCAAGCCAACACAGCCAAACCCAAGAAATCTCCTGCCAAGAAACCAACAAAGGCTGCAGGAAAAAAGAAGAGTTCCCCGAAGAAAAAGTAAACTCGTGTTTTCTCTATTTTTCAAATCCCAGAAGAATTAGTAAACTCGAGTTATCTCTTGTATGTTTCAACGGCCCTTTTAAGGGCCACCAATAAACTCACTAAAAATTCTTTACTAAACGAAAACTCACCAGGGATCTGACATTCCGACGTGTTCATAGGAATGACGAAGGTGAGGTGTTTGTAGATTCACTTTTTATAATAATGGTAACGTATACTAAACTCACAGATTTGTTTACAATTGTTTAACAATTTAATCACTAATCTCCCCTAATTGGAAGAATCTGCACCTACATGGACCTCCAATAAAACAACCGTTTTCTGTGGTCGCTTCTTGCTGGCAGAGTATATGCAGTGTATTTTCTGTCTGTATATGACCTCTTAGGCAGCACTGTCCAACCAGAAATGAACCACTACAAGTTTTGTAAATCTTGAGGATGGCCCTTCTATGAATCTCTTCGCTTATCTCGTACATGTGTTATTGTTCCACCAGGTTTTGGACTAATTAAAGATCATTTTTGGAAATGCCTTTTTTTTGTCAAGATATACCACATTAGGCTTAGAGAATTCATTTCATGTATTCCTAGGTTTACGTTTTAGAGGAGTGTTGAAAGCTTGGGGTATGATTAGTGCGTTTCAATACGGAATGTTGGAAAAATTACTTAGAACTTTAAATTAGCTAATTTCGTGGTCCTCTTGACTAATTAATATATTAAAATTAATTAAGGTTTTTAGTTGAGATAAAATAGTCAATGGCACGAGCAGGATTTGAACTCACGATCTTCGGCTAGATACGCCGCTGCTCTACCACTTGAGCTATCGTGACCTCGATCCACTCGGACACTAACTTCCCATCTCAACCGCACCTT